ATTTAATTGTAGATGTTTGGGAATTTTGCACCCAAGGTGTTTGACATAAGGTATAAGAAAAACCATATCTCATTTAAATAGTAGTTATGATTGGTATGATATGAGATAACTTGGTGGTAAGTGATGATGTTTGGAGACCATTAAGATATAAATTTTGGTTTTTGAAATCTTGAATACTTTCAAGTGGTTGGGATTGTGTTGGTAATGAAATAAAGTTTATATAACTATAGGAAGCAAATTGAGGTTTTATTTATTCATATAGGGTATGTGGAAGATGAGTCTCTTGATAAGAATTGAGAAAGGAAATCATTGGGTTTGAAATTTAGCAGGTAAGTGAATAGCACCCCATCATTTTTCAATTAAAGTAGTCTGTTTTTGAAAATATTACATTTTTATATAAATCATTTTAACAACTACGATGATTATTATGTACTTTGTTAATAAAATCATTTTGGTTCTGAAAATTTTAGAATGATGGTAAAAGTTAATTAAATTATGGTATATGCATGTGTTTTCTTTACGAAATATATTTTCAAGATCAATGGAGGCATCTTTGTTTATTTTACTTTTGAAATTCTTGGTTACTCATCTAGTACAAGCTTATACATTTGCTATGAAACAATGTTTTGGCAAACTCTAAGATTTGTAATGATTCATCCAAGTTTGATATTGAAAACACAAAGTGTATTTCAAAAATGATTATTCTCGCATGTTTGAAAAGTGATTTCACGAGGACTTTAAGCAGAACATTGTTGCTAACGACAGTTTCGTTAGCTTGGTGTGCCTTGGTTAATGACTAGCTAGTTTGGTTTTTGTGAGCTCTGTTCTCACGTTTGTTATTCACAAGCCTCGCACTCACGTTTGTTTTATGGCCTTGAGCCGCGTTTGGTTACTTACCCTCGTAGATTGTGTGTACACATTTGTTTTGTGGTTGCGACTGCGTTTGATTACTTACCCTCATAGACTGGTGTGTCCACATTTATTTTCATGGCATAAGTCGCGCTTGGTTATTTTACCCTCGTGGACTGTGTGTCCACGTTTGATACTTGTTCTGCAAAAGTCCTTAAAAATATTAGCTTTTAATTGATTTATGAATAAACGCTTTATTGGTTTTATTTAATAAAGAGTACTTTTATTTATTTATTTATTTATTTATTTAATTTGCTTTACAAGCACAAAGAGTTGAACTGTTTTGTTATTATCAATTTGGTGGTTTAGTACTTTGAAGTTATATGGAACTTCTTAATCTTTAAATTCATGATTATATTATATTGATTGTTCTCAGCTAGTATAATTGAATTTTCAATGTTTGTAGTTAGTAAGTTTGCTACTTTTACTCAATTATGAGTAAATTATTCTCTTTTAACATATCAGATTCGAGAAATTTTAACTCATTCATGTTTTATTATTATAATTAATATTTCTAGATATTATGAGTTATTAATCTGAATTAATTTCCTTTCAATTATTTCATATAATAGTAAGTTTATTATTTTGCTCTGTTAAATTTTATTTTTGGAGATGCTATTCACTGAAAATTATTTTGGTCTTAGATTTATTAATTGATGCTGGAACTCTTGTCGACCTTTAAGGGCTTGCAACTGTGCTAGATAAATATTTATTTTTGTAAATCCCTTCTCTTTTAATGTAAATATTCAATTAGATGTTTTATTTTTTTAAAAAAAAATTATGCTTTAGGAGTTCCACGTTAACTATAGTAGGATCCTGATTTTTTGTTCTATATTATGTTAATTATTTGTATCTGAGAAACATAGTTTTAACCTGTTGAATGTATATAATAATTTTTGTTATAGAGATTTCAGAAAATCTTATTTATAAAAAAGGTTCTACTGAAATTTTTATAAAAATATTACAACTTTTATTAAAACAATCATTGTTAAAGATATTATAATTTCAATAAAAATATAATTATGTTTTTGAAAAGTGAAATTTCACTTAATTTGAGGCTTAAGGGATGTATGATACAATTCACATCCTATGCCGATCACTCTTTATTTTAAGGGTGTGACACAAAGGTTCAACATAGGGGGGGATGGGGGAGTTGAAATCTATATATCAATATATTTTAAAATTAAATAAAGCCATACTAGTATCTTATAAAGTGCAACGTAACGATTAATTAGTATTAGATCTGGCTAAGAAAAACGTGGTAACTTGGTCTATGAAAGATGTGAGAATAGGAAACATATATGTCAGTTGCACCAATTGATACCTCTATACGGATAAACGGAGTTATTTAAATCCGATTTTTGATACACAGAAAATACACACAAGAGAAGCGTCTAGATTCAAAGTAAATAATTAAGTCAGTTTTCATTATGTCCTCCCACACCCATATAACTCCCAAGCACACTTTAGGTAGTCCCTCTCAAAACTGCTCGCACACATTTAAAATAAATAAATAAATAAGAATATTGCACTCAAGGACCCTAAAATTTTAATAAGGAAAAATAACAATTAGAGACACCATAAGAATATAACTGATAGTTACAAACTTAAAATTATTAAAATTTCAATAATAGACTATGATATTTACCTTACTTCCAATTAATTATTTTTTGTTGATTGGTTTAAAATTTACACTTTTGTAAATTTCCAACTAATGCTATAACGATTCTCAAGTATTTTTTGTTGATTTTTCAAATGATAGTAAAAATTACAAGTGATTGCTTGTAATTCACAATTGACTTTTGTAAATTTTTAACTAATATTATAAATAATCTCGAGGGTATTTTGTAAATTTCTCAAACAATTTATCTATATATATTGATAGTAAAAAAATTACAAGTGATTCGCTTGTAATTCATAACTAACACTATTAAATTTCCAACTAACATAGCAAATAATCTTAAGTGTATATTTTATTGATTTCTCAAAGTGATTTATCTGTATATTAACAAGAAGAAATTGAGATGTCTATTTTCCAACTGACTATTCATGTAAGGACTATGGTTTGTTATTATGATCTTAATAATTTAAAATCTGTAATTTTATTATTGTTCTTAGTCCCTACTTGTTATTTTCCCTTTTATTAATATTCAAGCATATCCTGTGGGCTTGGGTTTGGGCCAAAACTTGATCCATCAATGGTGGACTTGCTAAATCCAACAAAAGAATCTGCATTGTCCATGGATCTTACTGCCTTGGGTCGATATATCATCCATGGATCTCATCAACGGTGAACATTTGATTTCGAACCGGAAGCCCTAGGGAAACGTGAGCATTGACATGTAGCAATGAATGGACAAATCATAGCTGTTCTTTTGAAGCTATATGGAGCAAAAACATCAATCAACACATGTATTGATTGCCGTCCTTTCTTCTTCTCCTTAATTTCCCCGCACACTTTTCAGAAAATCCCATTGGGGCTATGACTTAACATTTTGAAACTGAGACTGGTTATTATGTCTCGTTGGTTAATGTTATCACGCATTTTATGCTCCTCAATCAAAGGCAAAAAGTTGGAGAACTCAACCCCATCTTTTGAATATCACGTTGCAGTTAATGTGAATATGATTCATTGAGAGCGTCCAGCAAGTTTCATAATCCTTAAAACAACTTCCACGGGCTTTTAGTAGAGAAGCAGAAATGATGGAGGCAGCGTAGATTATAAATATGTCCCTTGGTCCTGTAGTGAAATCGCATAATGTTTTGGTCCTGATTTATATATATGTTCCATCCATGGTCCTTTATTAAAAATTTTCCGTAAGCTAATTCCCATATTACAGCTAATGTATATCGGTCTCAAATATCAGGTCTTGAGAGAAGAATAGCTGAAAAATACAAAAGACCAGAGAGAAAGAGAGATATAAAGGTCAACGATGGGATCTGTATATCATGTGTAGTCTGCAACAATGCTTCCTTATATTCATAGATATCATATCTACAAATAAATATATATCCTTGTGTTCACACTATTCATATCTTTGTGTGCTCTTTAATGCCTATGGCGAAATGGAGAAGGGCCAAAAAAAAAAAATCCCTAAAATAAAAACATAAATACATATTGTGTTTGCCCTAGTCTTACCAAAACATAGAACAATATTGAGGATGATCAGAACACGTATAATGTGTATATTTGTATCTATGATTTAATATCTCAGAGAGGAAGCAGTCTCACACAGCATATATATATATATATATAGCTGTGTTCAATTTGCGGAAGTTAAACATCCCATTGAACAGTAGTGTCGGTTGGTTTAGCAGCATTATGTTGGCCTTCCAAGGAAGTGTCATCATCATCATCTTCATCATGACTGTCAACGGAAGCAAGACCTTCTGGAGAATCATTAATGTCTGTCCCAAGAAAGCTGAGAGCACTCACTACGTCTCTGATTAGTGGCCGTGCGGTAGCTTCCTCGTTCAGGCACATGGCTGCCATAGCCGCCGCTTGGCTCAGTGCTTTTACAGGAAAGTTTCCTTTCAGAAGAGGATCTGCCAGTTCTGGGTGTCTATGAGGATCCTTGAATATTGTTTGGGCCTGCAGTTTGGTGTCAAAAGAAAGACTTCAATACTTATATTAGGTTGTACAATGACATGATCACGAGTCCTAAGCTCAAGCAATTTTGGCTTAAGTGATAAACCTTAGTTTGTTATTAATGTTAAACTCTAATTAATAATGAGAAAATGAGGGGAACTCATACTCACCCAAGTAACAAGGTTTTGTTCCCATGTCGATCTTGTTGTGTCAATCACTCTTTTTCCAGTGATCAATTCAAGCAAGACAACTCCAAAACTATACACATCTGATTTTATGGTAAGCTGACCTGTTCGTTGATATTCTGGAGCACAGTATCCATAAGTTCCCATTACTCTAGAAGACACATGAGACTTATCTCCCATAGGTCCAAGCTTGGCTAGTCCGAAATCTGAAAGTTTTGCATTGAAATCCTTGTCTAGCAAGATGTTGGCTGCTTTCAAGTCCCTATATATCACGGGTGGATTGGCCTTGTCATGCAAATATTCTAATCCTTTTGCTGCTCCAAGTGCTATTTTCATCCTTGTATTCCAATCTAGTGGCTTTTGATCAGGAGGGACATCTGAAAATTCAATCCACGTCATTGTGAAAATGAATCAGGGATCTTTCTATTTCGAATCAAACCATTAATTAATGTTAAAATTATGATTCAAAATCTGATGAAAACAAAAGATATAGTCTAAGTATGATTATGATACCTAGAAGATGATCCTCTACAGATCCAGATGGCATGTACTCGTACACCAGAAGTCTCTGATCTCCATCAGCACAATACCCAACTAGATTCATTAGATTTTCATGATGCAAGAGGCTCAACATCAAAACTTCAACAAGGAACTCTCTGTTTCCTTGAAATCCATTCCTGTCAAGTTGCTTCACAGCTACATCCTGATGAGACAAATCGCCACGTTCAAAGTTCAAAATATTTCCATGAACAACAGAAACCTTGGAACTTTCAAATGGGATCCACAACATTTATACATTTAGATAGATACCTTATTTTATCTGGTTATTTTCTATTTTCTCTCAATCTCTCTTCGAATGTATCTATGTACATTTACTTTGATTAGCAGAGGGATCCAAAATAAAGAACTTTACAATATAAACCTCCATTTTTTTACCTGGTTGGTTTTTTCGATTCGCCCTTTATAAACCCTTCCGAATCCACCTTCACCAATTAGGGTTTCTTGCCGGAAGTTCTTCGTGGCCACTGCTAGATCCCGGAAGGTGAAGTTCTGTGAAGCAATGTTATTGCTGCCTATGTCTTTGGTGGCATCCTTTTTCGTTTCAGGTTCTTTCTGGTGTGAAGTGATCTGATTAGGGTTATGAGTTTCTGAACAAATCAGGATGTTCAAACATTCATTAATGCAACCCATACTCTAAACAACAATCTGCCACTACATAGAAATAATTGTCGATGACACACACACACATATCCCGACGGATTTGAGGTGTCGCTGCTGCCTTCACTACTACTCCCTAATGCCCAAAATCGCAGCTCTTTATTTCAGCCAATTAGATGAAATTTCTCTCACCATTAGCTGCAATGAATGGCTGCGATTTGAGACATTAGGGATGCAGGAGAGAATGAAGCAGACACTCCAAATACGAGACAAAGAAAAAGAGAAAATAGAACAAATGCGTGGTGTTACCATGGTGTGGCTGTGAAGAAGAGGCTTCTAATGGAACAGAAGATTGAGAGTGAGGGGATTATATACTCTTTCCATGGTGGGATTTCTTTGATGCTTTCTTTTCTGTGTGAGAAGAAAAACATGCGAAGCAACTCATTTGCGTGACTGGACGCCTAATTATTGTCTGAAAAATGTTTAATATATATATATATATATGTCTTCAACTCCTAGAAACCCCTTTGTTCCAGTGCATGCATCCAAACTAAAGCTGATCCCTTGTCTATATCTTCTCTTCCCCAATACCTACATACAAAAAGGAAGGCAATCACATGCATGCATGTTGATTTGAATATATAATCCTAAATTAATTACTGTACAGATAATGAAACCTTAATTCAAGGGAGTGCCAGATTGAAGATGTGATTAAAAGTAAAGCCACCAAAATCTAGCTAGCTAGACGCTGAAACTTGCCATACTATTTGGGATCGACTGACCCAACACTCTCAAAAACTTGGCAAAGAGAAGAATTGGGAAACTTGTGTGTTGGGTCAGTCAAGGGAACAAAAATGGGTGACACCTTTTTTATACGAGGTTTCCGAAAAAAGTGGAGAGGACAATGACCAAGGTTTCGAACAAATTCAAAACCATCATGACAAATCTGATCTTCTGCAAATTGTTAGGGATGTGCAAGTGTACGCATCCGATTTGGGTTGTCAAAATCACATTTGAATGTTTCAACATTTTTAAAATAAAATATTAGTTAAAGATAAATTTTTTACTGTCCAAGTCAGATATACTCCCAACAAATCTCTAAAGATATGTACGTGGAGGATCCATGTTGCCCTCTTGAGCATGGCAGAGAAGAGACAGAAATGTTAAAACAATTTTGACCAATTTGTGGTGCAAAAGTTATGATGTTGTTGAACAAAGGCATGTGATTTTAGAATGTTATGTGACAAAGATAGATACATAACAGATATTTTTGCCACTTAGCTTAGTCATAATTACTAATGCTGAAAATAAGCTTAGGATATATAACTAAGGCCATGTTCTTTTTTGGAACACGTCCAGGTAATTAAATGTAAGACTTCTTTTTCTAATTATTTACACCCCTCAATATTTGATCAATATGTTTAATTTATGCGTGAAAAGTTTGATATTTTTCTTACTTGATTATTTGAGTAATTGCAGAGCCCATTGTCAAAATTTATTAATTTACTTCGTTAAATATTGCATAAAACCAAAAATGATATAGAATAAAGAAATCGGTATCTCTAAAATGGATTAGAGATGGCTGATCTTTTAGTGCCATTTTAAAATCATATCGAATTTACTTCGTTTTTCATGAGAAATAAATTTACAAGAAATAAAATTGAGTGTAATAATAATTTGGCCCTTAAAATATAGGTCTAAGAGTGTATGGAACCCTAAATTCATTTTGAGTGCAACATTTTTTTTAAATATTTGAAAATGGTCCAATCTCATCCCTGCCCTTGACAAATATTAACTTTTATTGTTAATTAATTAGAAGATTCTTAAAAAAGTCTCAAAAATTATTTAAAAAAAAGGACACAGAAAATTACAAATAAGTATCATATAAAAAATAATACAAATTGTTCTCTGAATTATAAAAAAATAATACTAAAATACAAATTTTATTTCTTTTTCATGTAAAGGAAAAAGTATATATAACTTTCCCCAAACTTTGTTTACATTAACGCCAACGGTGTTTTTGGGTTAAAATATAAAACATGAGATTTTGATTTTGACCTTAATGAAAGGTGAGGGTGACTATCTGTAATTGATCCAAAGTTAAGTTTGGAGAGTTAAGTATATTTATATTAGCTCTATTTTTGCAATGAAAACTGAAAAGTTGTGCAAAATTAGAAATAAAAAAGAAAAGAAAAGTTTTACAAAATTAAATTCTCGCAGCCACAAAATCATAATAAATGCTATGAATTAGAAAGTTTCCACAACTCCAAAAAGTAACGGATGTGTCTCTTATTTTTATATCAAGTCAAAGAAGAGCTTTAATTTCTAAGACAAAAATCACTTTTCCTAAATAATAAAAAAATTATGGCTTGAAATTTTTGTATCACTGTGCCTTTAAAGCCTTATATTTGGGAACGCTGACACTCAAACAGCTAGTCCGTAAACGCCTTTCAGTTAAATACATCATTTCATAAAAAAGAATATATATATATATATATATATAAAGAGAGAAATATTGACTTCACCATTATCTGTTTTGAAATCATTCCTTTAAAAACTAGGAGAGCAAGTGAAGGAGAACAAACCCTAGACATATACAGTGAAAGTTCCAATTGTCCCTAGCTTCTGATTGATGCCTATAAAAATGTTTACAAATCTTTTCTTTTTTATCTTTTCTAAGTTCTTGTTCCTTCGATGAACTTTATGGCTTCCAACTAAAAAGACATAAATGAGCACAATCGATTCATTGGTTCAACCTTGTTGGTCTGTGATCTTTAGCTTGTAAGGTTAGCTTCTTTTCACTGCATTTTTCCTCCACTATTTTTTTATTGCAAATCTGAGCTGTCCAAATTAAATATATACTTTCAAAATTTATCAAATCTAATTTAATAGTCTAGATATGCAATGTATCATCCTTTGCAGAGAAAAAAAATCTAATACCCTAAGTTGTATGCTATATACTGCCAAAGGAGAGGTAAAATTAAAACTATAATTGTCAGCCCCAATTGTACCCTTTTGAACATCCAAATATATATATAGTGATTCATTTTTTTTTTGGTGAAATGACTTAGCTAGTCGATAAATAAATCTTCATGCTGTTAATAAATTAAACCCAACAAAATTATGAACTGATTATGCTTCTTTTCAATAAAATTAACTCTCCCCATCATTTTAGAGAAGTTGTGACTGAGTGTGTGATGGCTACTAATATTTCTATCCTCTGGAATGGGTCCAAGATTGATAATTTCATTCCTTCTAGAGGGCTCAGATAAGGAGATCCTCTTTTACCTTATCCTTTTATTCTTTGTATTGATAAACTCTCACATGTTATTATGGATGCAGTAGATTATAAGAATTGGAATCCGATCAGGATGGGAAGATGTGGAACCCCAATTTCACATCTCTTATTTACAGATGATCTACTCATTTTCTGTGAAGCTAGCATTGATCAACTGAATATTGTGAAGAAGATCCTAAAGATGTTTACTAACATATCTGGTCAAAAGGTGAGTATCAATAAAACCTCCATGTTCTTTTCTAAGGATGTACGTTTAAATGTGCAGGAGGAGATTATTAAGCTGGATGAATTTGCAAGGAGTGATGCTCTTCGAAAGTATCTTGGCTTTAGAGACACAAGGGGACACAGAAAATAGTAAAAGTTTAATTTCTTGATTGAGAAAGTTCAACAAAAGCTAAGTGGTTGGAAGGCCCAAACGCTCTCCCTTTCAAGAAGACTAACTCTTGTTCAGTCTTTTACTTCTCATATTCCAAGTTACAACATGATGCATAGTAAAGTGCCAGTTGCTATTTGTAAAGATATTGAAAAACCTAGAGAAATTTCATCTAGAATTCAAGCCAAGACCAGAGAAGAGTTCACGTGCTCAGTTTGAAGACACTCTATGATCTTAAGGACAAAAGAATGGGTATTATGAATGAAGCTCTCCTCTATAAACAATATGGAATATCTTAGCAAAGCCTTTGTGTGCTTCTATTCTACAAGGTAAATTTATGAGGAAAGCTGATTTAACTAAAGGTGCTATTGCAAAGTCGAATGATTCTATGTTTTGGAGGAATTTAGTTGATTTGTGGCCTAATGTCATTAAATTTCTCTAATGAGAAATAAAAGATGGAGAAGGGGTTTTGTTCTGGAAAGATAAATGGCTTTATTGTAATGGTATACTGATAGATCATTGCACGTAGTGAATTTCTATGGAGATGATTGATATGAAAGTTTCTAAAGCTATGAATGACCAAGGAGAGTGGAATTTGCCTATGCTGTCCAATTTCCTTAATGATAATGAGATCAAGTTAATTGTGAGTCACCACCCACCTAGGCAAAATGCTGGCCGTGCCAAGATTGGTTGGGCGTTTGAAACTAACAAAACCTTTACGATCTCCTCTATGTATGAAGTTTTGAGTGAAGTGCCTAGTGATAACTATGATCTAACTTGGAAATTAATTTGGTAATGGAAAGGTCCTAGAAGAATCGAAACCTTCATATGGTTGGCTTTGCATGAAAGAAGTATGATGGCACAAAGAAGAAACTCACTTTTTAGGGCTTCTAATTGCTGTGATATTTGTCATAATAAAGTGAAAGATGTTTTACATGTCACCCAAAATTGTACTGGAACTAGGAGCATCTGGAATGATTTCCTTTCATTTGACAAAGAAGGTATTTTTTTTCTCTTTAAACAAGAATGATTGGTTCACTTGAAACTTGCAAAATAGGGGGCGGCACAATGGACTAGACTAGGACATTCTTTTTGCAATCGCAATTCGAAACCTTTGGAAATTTAGAAATGAGAGAATCTTCAATAAGGGCTCCACCTCATTATTAGTACTCAAAGAAAGAATCTACAACCTTGCTAGAGTAGTGCAGTCAAGCTCTAAGGATGCTGTTAGATTGATGAGAGTTTTTAGACCAGATCAAAGTATTTGGGAGCCTCCCATGAATGATTGGATCAAGCTTTACATTGATGGGGTTGCGAGAGGCAATCCAGGTAGAGCTAGTTATAGTGGTATCTTTTGCAATGCTAGAGGTTAATGATGGATGAGAGGTTTCGTTTGTAATTTGGGAATTTGCATAGCTAAAGAAGCTAAATTTTGGAGCTTCTACCATATTATATAAGTGGCTCATAGTCTTAATTTTACTAAGCTTATTGTTGAAAGTGGCGCCATTTCCATAGTTCATGAAGTCCAGGAGGCAATTGAGGGTAACGATTGTCATCAGTGGCAAGTACGGTATGCAATTAAGCTTCTAACTGAGGATTGGCAAATCAAGGTGAATTATATGTGCAAGGAAAACAACAAGTGTGTCGATTGGATTGCATAATTTGGCCTGAATTAATGTACTGAGTGTAGAATTATTTATGATCCTCCTAATGGTCTCATTGAGTGGTTGTATCAAGATAATAGGGATTATAATTATCTTGGTTTACTTTTAAGTTAATTAAGAGTTTGGGCTTTGCCTTGTTTCTGATCAAAAAAAGAAAAGAAAAGAAAAAGAAAACATGATCCATTTATTCAGCGATTAATAAATGTATTCAAGCCATGCATATGCATCCTAAACAAAGTTTTTAGAAATAGGTGAAAACATTTGTTCAACTGGCCATGGTCATAAAGAGCATAAATAAATTATTATACTTTTCATTAATTTTATACACAAATACTATATACAAAATAAAAAAAATTATTTTTTGATAGTTTCTTAATTGATTTTAATTGGCTGACCTTATTTGTTTTAATTTGTTTTTCAAATAATTAATTTGATTTTTCCTTTTTTTTAACAGAATTAAGGTTGAATTGTCAATTTATCAATCAAGCTAGCTGATCATTTCATTTTTCCAAGACTAACACAGTAACACCGTATAGAAAAACCGCAGAATTCCATTGGCATCCATATAATAAAATGAATTATTTATATTTTCTACATTTACACACGCACGCTTTCAAGTACTGATTTATGAGGATTGATCCTCTTGTGTGTGTGTGTGTTTGTGAACTTTGGTATCTTATCAAGACTTCTGTTCAAGTTGGACAACTTTTTTACTAATTGATCCAAGCATATGTAGTGGTGAGGATTGATCCAATTTTAAAAACTATTGTTTCTAAATGCAGAATATGTGCTTAAAAAGAAGACTGGTTGAGATTTGGTCATGTACATTTCACAATAATTATGCCACAGAAAATGCAAATAAGCCCCACGTCCGGGTTTATGTATTAGAAAACGACACAAGTCAAAAGGTACAGCTTTACAAAAAGGCATTTTTGAATGCAAAACAGTCCTGCTTTTCCTTTTCTTCAGAAAAGATGTCACTGATAATTTTATATATTTATATTTTTAAATAACTTTCATGCCAGGTGTGGTCACACCATTTTGGGATTTGCAAGGACCACCAAATCAATTTCAAAGGCCGCAAAATTCACTCATTCAAATATATATATCTCTACATATAATTCAGATTAATAAAGATACAAAGTATTTTAGATTTTTCTGCTTATACAAATAAATTTTTATTTTTTAACGTTCATAGAGTAACTATATAGATATCTAAAAGATTTTACCTAGCTAGAGTAATTATGTGACTGCATCTAACATCCAACAGGTCAAATGGTAGTTTACCTGCACTTTCAAGAAATAAATATCCTAATTTTTGAACTTGACAAAATATTCAAGAGTTAATTCACTAATCTTTTTTTTTTTAATGAAAGGTTTACCTTGCATATGTTTATTCCTTTATTAATGAAAATGTCACAAAAATTAAAAACCAAGATATCCAATGCTGATGTGAGAATGAAGAAAATTTAAGAGAAAGAAAGGAAGAGAGTAATTAAAAAATAAGAAAGGAATAAAAAATGCTGACAAAAATTGGTTCGATAGGCCATAAGGATTTGCCTTATAATCAACCACAAGATTAGAGAATCAAATCTCATTTTTAATATAAGAGCCTTGTTAAAGAGCAATTTGTAAGTTTTTTTTTTTAAGATATATAGATACATGTTATGAGCTCTAGCTCGCATAAATTTATTTTTATAAAAGAAGGGGTATATAGAATATTAAAAAAAGAGAAAGAATTCTATCAATATGAAGCCTTTTCCTCATTAAAAAATTAAATAAAAAAAAGCATTATGTTGTGAAATGGAAAGAAGTAAGGTGATCGAAGAATAGGAAATGATACTGTTATAATTATCAAATCATGGGCTCACTCATTACCTTTGGTTGGTGTCAGCTTTCTCGAGAAATGTGATTGAGAAGACAAAAGCAAAGCCCCAAAGGGGCGTTCAAATAATTTTGGTCAGACAAAACAAAAGCTCCCAAGTCCTCTCACTGTTTCTCTATCTCTCACAGATCTGACACCACTGCTTTTAATCTCTTTTATTTCATTTCTCAGATTCCCTTCTTATCTTCCTCTTGCTCATTTCCTCGTCCTCTTCTTCCTTCTCCTACTGCAACTTCTTCAATGCAGTGAAACCCATGCAACCAATTATTACATATCTTCTTCTATGTTACTACTGTTCCTCTCCTACTTTCCCTCTTTCTTCTTTTCTGTGCTATTTTTCCTTTCTTGGTACTTCATGAATTCTAAATTCTGTTGTGCCCTTTCTCCTCTCTCTCTCTCTAAAACTGAATTCCTTGCTCATCAAAGAAATTCCCTTCCATTTCCCTACTTTTTTTTACCCCCGGGTTCTGCAAAGATCCCATGTCAGGATCCGGATTTGGTGAGTGTCCCAAATCCTCTCTCCTGATGAGTGTCCCATGCAATACTATAGAAATCGTTGATTCAATTGAACGGTTACTGGAAATGTTAGCACAAGATACAAAGAGAACATCAAATCACAACTTTACCTTTTACTATGTTTTATTCTTTAATCCAACAATTGATATAATTGTATAAAAATGTTTGAATACATAATCATAAACATCTTTTAACTCAATGGTTTCTTTTGTTTCTGATCCTATAATTACAGTGTAGACACTATCTGGGTGAGAGGATTTGAGGCACTTATGAAATTCAGATATATGTAGGTGCACAGCACTTTAATTTGTCTAAGGGATAGAGTCTCCTATATGAACCCACTTTCACGGAGAAGACATTAATATGGGCTTAAAGAAGAAAGATATGGGAGATCAGAACGGAAAAAGTAAAAGCAAAAGCAAACTTGAAACCAGATTATTCAGATATTAATTGAGGAAAAGAAAAAATCTAGCCAGCACCATTTTCAAAGAATATAAATATGTAATATATATATATATATATCAACCAGAATCCAATAAAAAAACTTGCTGAGATCTCTTTACTGGAGGCAAATTAAGAGGAAAGCAATAATAAAATTATACTACACATAGATCGAGAGGAAGATCGATCAGCTTAGATTGTTATGCCACCAACACCATATATATATATCATCGCAGTCTATTATATATGAAATAAAAATAGGAGGGTACATACAGACATACAGAAAAATTATAGAGTGTCTCTCGCTATACATTTCCAGCCCAAAAGTAAGAAAAGAAAAGAAAAAATGATAAAGCAAAAGTCTAGCTAGCTAGTTAATTATGATGAGGATGATAACAACTAGACCATAACAAGCCTCTAACATAAATAAGTATTCATGGCCATCGAACTGGATAGCAAGAGCTACTAAAGATCGATGACAATTACAATACGACGTCGCCGTTAAATCTCCATTTCATCTTCAACATAGCAAGCTAAGCTAGCTATCTACATAGCTAGCTAGGTTGCTATATATATGTACGATCATATAGCTTTCGGACTTACCGATTTGAGATGGGGTTTGGACCACTAGGAACTTCATGAGCGTCGGCTCCGAATTCTTTACCTCTCGCAGAAGCATCCTTGCACGGAGTAGTATGTGAATTATGGGTTTTTTGAGGGTTTACATTTGTGGTAAACTCTGATGAAGGTGATGATGATTCAGAGGAAGCCATGGAAGGTGGTGATGAAGAAGAAGGATTTAGTTGGTTATGAGATAAGTTGATGAGAAGAAGCAGAAGGAAGAGGACGGCGAAGAATTGAAGCAAGTTTGAAGAGAATTTCTGTGAAGATGAAGATTTAGGTTCAGCCATGCAATTTGAGAGAACACAACACCACCCCCCAAGATCCACAAGAGATCAATATCCATGAACCAGAAGGTAGCACTCAGGGCTAAGGAAGGGAGAGATAGCAAGAGAGGGAGAGAGAGAGGGAGAGAGGGAAGCTTCAGCAAAAGTGATTGAAAAGGAGGGTTTTAAATTCGATGCACATTTGGGAGAGAAACCAAAACCAACTTCACATGGAAGTTTATACTAAAGGTTTTGTGTGCATTGCATTTACGAAAAAGCCCTCGCTAATTACTGTGCAATTAATTCATGCTGTGTAGAGGTGAATTTATCAGACCTAAAAACAACGTACACACACTATTCTTTCTTATCCACAATATTGATAATTATTTCACAATTTAAAAAAAATTAGTTGGTATTGTAATTTTTTTACAAAAATTGTATATCTTTTAATTATGTCCTCATTAAATATTTTATATAACTGTCATAGTAATGAAAATTAAAATTCTAATATAATGGATCATTTTTTTTAAAATATAATAAATGAAGTAAGAGTATATATAGTTAAAAAAATTTATAAAAATTACTCAGTATCTTGTATTTTAAACTAAGCATGACTTCTAAAAAATGTTATATATTATGATTTGGATGGAGCATATACATGAGCACAATCATACACACACAAAACTTACATGAGTTAAAAAGGGAAAACATTAATTCTCACGAGAACTCTAAATGTGAGATCTATTAATTTTTGCCCCGTGAATTTCACATTGGCGTATTTCATTTCTTTCTCTCTTTTCCTCTCTCAGTATTTCATAAGAATGAACATGTAAGACCAACATTTAATACTGAAAATTTATTCTTGTATTTAAAGAAGATTATTGATTGTTAAAAATGACTTGACATGTTTTACCCGCCGTATATTATGAGTGATTTGGAAAATGAATTGGATTGCTTGTGGTTTGAGATTGTTGCGATTTAATTACTATAACTTTTATATTTTATATTGATATAAAAAATTAGACTTTAAATGTTAAGAATATTATGTTATATTTACTTTCATTGACATAGCAAGCTTTTTTAGGGAGTTAACAATAAATTCTTATGAAGTTTGGCCTACTAAATAATTGTTCAACATAATTGTTATTCTTGCAAAAAAATGCACGGAAAGCATGGCGTAGGAATAATTCTAATTAATTTTTGAATACAATCACAGTATCAGGAATGATTTTTCCTTCTACATCACTGCCTTCAAATTATTCAAATGTTAAATTTCACTTCAGATAATTCAAATGTTAAGCAAATAATTTCTTTCTTTTTTATTATTATAGAATGTATTCAATGATATAAGGAGAAATTTCCACGGAGTGATGAAAAAGGACAAGGAGGTCACATTGTCAACCATCAATATTGCTCCATTAATTAATTTTATGAAAGAAATATGCATATATTAATTAAATAATAAAGAATCTTCAAAGGTACAGCCATATTGGCTTGACGAAAAGAAAGTGATGGGGTGGTGAGAGGATGGTGTGATTGCTTTTTCATGTTTGGCTGCTTCCTCAAGAAATCTTTTGACTATGAGAACCCTAAAACAAGAATATATGTCGATTTTTTTCCTTGATACTTATGATTTCTTAACCTTCCCTTACTATACACAAGGTTCTAAAAAACCCTTTTTCTTTGGCGCGTTGCTTTTACTTTCCCTCATCAGTCACAAAAATTCAATTCCATTCATTTACTTATTGTTTCATTTCTTAAGTCATGTGCACCCGATACCATGACTCTGCCTTGCGTTAAGGTGAGATGACTTAACAAGGGTCCAGACGAATTCAAATCTAGTATCGACAGACTCCTTACATATAACGAGCTCTACCATCGAGTTCTAATGTTACTTCATTATTTAAGCTTGAGCCTGAGATCACTAGTTAAATTTGAAAATCTCTTATGGATGGTGCATGCTATACCCTATTAATGGACAATATTTGTGTGAAAGGAATTTTATTTGCTTTGGAAAACAAAGCAGTGATGTTCCCACGAAAGTAATGGTAATAGTAATTTGCTTTACCTTTAAGACCCAAATACAATATTTTTTTCCAAACTCATATTCCATTGCAATTGTTCTTTTTGTTTCTTTATCTTTTCCTTTCCCACATGAAAATGAATGGTGGAGGAATAATATTCCACAATATATTGGACAATATATATGTTGAAAATAGTTCAATGACTAATTTTCTTTTATACATTCAAGAGCGTAAATTGATTCTTGGCATATTGACAGAAAAGAAATTGCATCCATCTCAAACTCAGTAAAGATCATTTTTAATTTATCTGTCATTGAAATATTATTTGAAATTAAATATACATCACCTTGTCTTACCGATATAATTATGCCTTTAATAAATAGTTTTTCACATCTCATTTTGACAATCTAAATTTTACTATGATATTTTGATAATTAAAATAATCTTAAAAAAATATATTAATTGAAATTTTATATCTATTTTACATGATATTTTTAAAAACATTGAAATTAAAATAAGAAAAAAAATTTAAGAGTCCAAATCTCATTTATTAATATGTTTTCAACTCAAATAATGTGTATCCCTGGTGCCTAAGAAATATAGAGAGAATTCATTTCAAGTTTTTTTTTTGTTTTTTTATTTTTGGTCTCATCATGGTATAGAGAATCTGAATTTCAAGAGATAAGAAACTTTAATTTCATGAAAAAGCGCAAACGATTCCAAAAAGGGTTCGCTTGTTTGAACTTTGGTGCATGGATTTCTGTATTGCAGCAATTTTTGATTAAACATTTTTTTCCCTGAAATCGAAGCTAGTGCTAGCTGCAAATTAAACGCCTAAAAAGAGTGGATAAAAATCATAGTCCTATATTCTGTCAAAAATAAAACACGAAAAAGCGTGAAATGAGTAAAGAAGTATACATACTCCTCAAGTTTACCTAGCTATCTTGGGTTCAAGTCGTAAATATTAAGCTGTATAAAAGATTTATCGGAAAAACCTTACTGCTACTGCCATTCTACCTAACATCACTAATTCGTCATACTCTAGTGTAATTTTTCGACGCTAGCAGTTTTTTTTAGCATAAGGCCACGAAAAAATGTGTTTTCCATGACAGTGTTTTCAAAATCAGATTGATTTGATATTTCTCAAATGAAGTTAACTTTTGAAAAGGTCCAGTTTTTATATTTTTCTATTTTTAAAGTCTTTTTGAAGGCTTTTATATATCCTCCGGTTCGGTCTCATTCTTAAAACACTTCCTTAGAAATAATATCTCTTATATATCCAGTTGCTCAATTTCAACATCTAGCTGATAACCCCAGAGAAGTAAGTCTGCAAACGATGTGCTTCTCTTGACATGTGGTTGAAGGTTTGATATAAAGAGAAAAATAAAAAAAGTGTGTGTGTTTGTGTGTATTGGGAGTGCAGGTGATAGTGTAAATGAGAGAGGAAGAAGAGGCCAAAGGAGAAGACATATATGTCTGCCATGAAGGGGGAAAGTGGGAGCCCACAAGGTTTGATTGTTGAGAGCGATGGTACGGTGAGGTGTGTCCAGTGATTTCACTATTCATCCACCACTTTTATTCACTCTTTCTTCCTTTCCATAGATAGCTTTCAGCCTTTTGCCACCACTTTTGTTATTTCTTTCTTTTTATTGTTAACATTTGTTTTTTTTTTTTTTTTTCATTGAGTACAATCTTGTTTGAGATGCAGCCGGTACTATATGTGAACACACTTTTTCAAATCCTATATGTTAGATGCAGCCGGTACTATATGTTAAACCCTTTTGTTAGATTCAAATCCTATTGGTCCATCATATTTAATTATTTCTTTCACGGGTACCTCTTGCAAACACGAGAAACTTGAACGCATGGTCGTCGTACTACATGAAAGTAATTTGTATTTTGGGATTCCATTTTCTTCATTTATGACTGAGTAATTTGTTGAGATTTACACTCAGAAAAAATAAAGTTGATGTAATATTGGAGTACATTGATATGATGTTTACTTGAAAGTTATGTTATTTCTCAGTAACACTGCCAGCTTATGTTATTGTGTTAACCACTTTTGGAACGTACGCTTTTCAAATGGTTGGCTGGCCGGCTAGATGAACCCTTTTCTAAATAGTGAGTAATGTTTCTGGGAGTGATGATTAAATATTAATGATGCGTTGAAGTCTGCAGTAAATTTAAAATTTAAGAGTATCTTTAATTCTTTAATTTTATATAAAGTTTTATTATAATTTTTTAATTTTATAAAGTGAATAATTTTTTGGGAGTGATGATTAAATATTAATGATGCATTGTTAAAATGCATATAACATGGGAGTTTGAAGTAAATTTAAAATTAAAGTGTATCTTTAATTTTTTTAACTTTATATAAAGTTTTATTTTAATTTTTTAATTTTATAAAATATATTTTCAGTCCTTTAATTGGAACATTAGTTTGGCCAACAAGAAATTTATACATTGAAATTTTAAAATTATTTCCTTTATTTAAAAATGTAAAATATTTTTAACTAAATCTCACCACCAATAAAGTAGGTATTTATTTTTAAACTAATTTTATATTTTCATATATATTCTAATTAAACATTCTAAAATAAATAAAGTGATTCATTTAATAGGGTACTTTTAAAAAAGATAATAATTATATCTTAAAAGACTAAAAATATATTATATTTTTTAAGCGAGGGAGTAACAAAATATTTTGAAATGTTGATATAATAAATTTAATTTAAAAAAAATGATTGGTATAAAAATAATTATTTAAAACTAATGATGTTAGAATTAGAAGATTAAAAAGATATTTTATATGATTAAAGTATCAAAATGAGACCTTATATAAAGTTAGAGAGCCAAAGATATATTTTAACCTAAATTTAATAAATCACTTGGAAATTACACACACACACACACAAAATTATGTCAACTTAATTGAAATGGATCAAAATCCAAAGCCAAACAGCTCCTTTAGTCTTGAGATCGTCGATTTGATTAAATTTCAGTCTGAAGTATCCAACTGCTTAAACTAGTTTTAATTATAAACATAAGGCCCTGATCAAAGGCACATATGT